GGAAGAAAAATATTGAAGGACAGGCACAGCCATTAAACCTAATGGTTTTGATGCAGGGAAAAAGAAGAAGAAGAAAGGAAGGACAGCTTCTAATGCATTTGTTCATATTTAGCTGTTGTAGCAGTAGAGGTAGAGATGCACTTATTTGGTGCATTTAACTAGCAGATAAGTTGGCAGACTCTGCCCTTAGTCATCTTAACCAAAGTCATCCAAGAAGCCAGTGACTGAGCCCTGTTGGTTTTAGTCTCACAGTCATGCTCTCTCAGGGCAGAAGCAGAACAGAAAATAAACACTCTTTGCTTTATCAGGGTCCATTTCCACCTAAGTGTTTTCATAACCCTCTCATAGCAAGTTCTCAGGGTATAGGCTTTTTACTAAACACTGAACTAAATTAAGGCAGCTGATAAGGACCAAGGCCTGCTATGGTTCAGTTTTCTAGGAGCAACTGAAGAAGGTGGCAATGATATAAATCTCTTTATGTCACTTTTAAAACTATCTCCTTTTCTTTTTAATGTCATTTTCAAGTCATCCCTTAGGACTTGGTATTTGTATCACAATACAGACTGTAGCTACATACTCTTACAGAATATCTTTTGTTTTCACTGTTTATATGTAAGTTACCATAGAAGTTAGGGGATGTTCTTTCTGTTTTGTCTCTTCATTACAGTCACAGCAATATCTAAATTAGCAGGTATTTCCAAACAAGACTGTCAGGTTGTGGCTTAAAATTTGGCATGCAGTAAAGTTCCTACACGTATTTCTACCCCTAAGAGTGGGCAAAGTGTAACAGTTCTTAAAGTACTGATTTCTGCTAAATATTGGAATAGAAAGAGAAACACACATGAGCTAAAGGTCATGACATTTCCAGCTCCAACTTCCCAGATGTTAATGTTGGAGAAAAAGAGCTAGGCAAACTACCCACTTTTGGGCATTAAAAGGAGCTTAAATATGTTCCCCTATCAGTAGTAGTTGAAGTTGAATGGAGAAAATGAGAAGTAAAATACTTTCAGCAGACGTTTTTTAAAGTATTACTTGATTGGTTTTAGAATTGGTCAAATAATAATAGTTCTTACTAAATGGACTCTTTAGCCCATAAATGACATTCCTTATCCACTGCTTCTCAAATAATTATGTTTTATATATGGCCTTGTCCACTGCTTTTACATTTTGAAAGTAGACTTAAGGAGACTACTTTGTTTGAGATGGGTGAACTGATCTAAATGGACATAAATGAGTGGATAAACTATCTTTTCCTAAAACAACTATATATCTCTTCAATATTTACAGGATTATACAGTGCCTGTGAACTCATCCCACTCTTGGATCTTGAACCACATGGTGATTTCAATCAGAGGCAAACATCTTAAAGACACTAAGACTCTGAATTTATGTGAAATGGCATCAGGCAGGGGAAGACATGAGAGATTTCCTGCCAGGAAATAGCTGTGCCATGAGCAAAACTTGAGCTAAACTCAGAAGAAATCTATCTGGGGAAAAGTGTTTAGAAATACCCTCCTCACAGGATAATCTTCAGAACTTGCACTTTCTGAGAAACTAAATTGCCTTGGAGATAGAAATCTGTAGGAAACCCAGCTTTAGTTTCAGTCTTCGCAGATGAACTTGTTTCTAAGAAAAACCTTTTTGCAGAAGAGGAATATGACCAAATGCAAACTGAACGCAAGGCAAACATGGCAATATTCCTCTTTGTTAAATTAGCTGACTCTGAGTGATTAGTACCATTGTACAGCTCAGCTGTTGACTCTTAGCTGATTTCCTAGTGCTTAATTCCCAGACAATTTCAGAGAGATTTATGCACGAACTGAGAGTTAGACACAGACTTAAAAATGGTAGTGACACAGGCATTGTATAGGCATATATTTAAAAGAAAATATTGTGAATGCAGGCTTCAGCAACATCTTGAAGCACTCTGAAGTTGAAGAGATTACTCATGTTCCTACTATAAATTCTTGCAGTTCTGAGCACTCTGTTTGATTATGATGTAGTAAGGAATCAGTACGAGTCTTCTCTGAATTTGATGAGTGGCTTCAACCACTGAATTCTGGCAGTGGTGAAAGAAGCCTCAATCAGTTAGTTACTTCTCTTCTGCATCTGGCTTGGCAACCAGTCAAGAAGAACAACAGTGCTCATTTCACATTCATGTATTATACACAATTTGCTTTGAATACCTTGTTTATTCTAACACGAAGGCTGTGTTTTAATTTCATTTTGGTACTACATTAGTGGAAAGATGTGAGGATTGAGGGCACTACTCAACTATCGAGCTATGGATCAATAGACAAAAAGTTTTTAAATGGTTTTGAAATGCCTGCATTGATAAAGATATATCCATTATTCTTCTTTCTGCTACTGGGGCAAAAATAATAAATATTTTAAGAACCTCAAAATAGATGGAAGTAGTAGTATTATTGACTAAGCAGGAACTGTTTGCCAGGAGATTAGGCTTTAGTTAGTAGGATTTAAATATGCCTGGCATGTCAAAACAATGTGACAAGTCAATGTTTTCATAATCTTCTGTGTCTACCTCATAACTTGTTGTGAAAGGATGATGGCTGTTGCCAGCTTGCTTTGTTCTTAATATTATTTTTGAAGATAAGAAAGTGAAATGGCTCCATTTCAGAAATTAAGTAATATCTTTGTGCCAAAATACTGACAAGAACTCTTCGTGCAGGAAGATAAATTAGAGTTCTGACTCCTGCATCACAAAAAAGAAGTTGTCATGGTTTGAAAGGAGCCTGCTGTTCAAGCTGGTGTTACCTCTTTTAACACTGCAGATGTGAATGTCAAGTGAGTTTTCTATGTGCATTTCTGCAGTGGGAAATGGAATAGACTATTGAACTCAGGCAATTTTAAAAGTCAAGGATAATTTTAGGGAACGGGAGGTCAGAAGAGTCAGCAAGTGGAATAAGTGGACCTCAATCAAATTATAACATTAGCTATATAGCACTATTTGCCACCCACATCTAATGGTATATTTGCCTTGTTGTCTTTGCCACTGATTATTTCAGCTCTCTCAAAACTGCACTTGCAATGCCTTCCCCTCCCTTCATGTAGACAGCATTTGAACCCCTGTTGAACAGATCTCTATGACCTCCATTCTAATAAAAAAATCCCCTTTCCTACAGATCCAAAATGGAAAAACTCCTGCTCAGACCCTTATTCAGCCCAGCAACAGCAGTAGCCTCCTCCTAGTACACCTCAGCTATCCTGATTCAGATACTTCTGTTTGCTTCTACCTTTATTCCTTTGACCTGGACACCCATGTCCTTATGCTGGTTCTTTCACTGCTGTAGTAAATACATTTGTTTTCTTACTAGCTCAAGACCCTTTGTTGTTTAGTTAAACTCTTCCTATAGGGTCCCATCTTCTATTACCATGCTGTTGTGAGTATTACACATCTTTGTTCTGGCAGCAAGCACAACCCTTGTGGTCTCTGTGCCAGATGGATATATACAGTCATTTTCCACGCTCCTCTCTTCCAAAACCTTTCTCATGATGGTTGCTCCTGGTACCCTGCTCACTGACGAAGTAAGTAGAAAATGGATGGTGTCCATCTGAGGTTTCAGTTGCTCATCTGCTCTTTCCCCATACTACTTCTTGGTTGCCTGAGTATATTCATCTGGGATAGGGAACTGTTTGAGCAGAGACTCTTTATGTTGAAATTCCTGTGAACACTTGATCTGTGATTGACGTTTCCAAACTGTAATGTGAGGCTGTATTAACATGCCTTAACTGATGGAAAATACCACTGGCACACAAAGGAAGTGACATAAAGGTCACAACTGAGATAAGGAGCAAAATCATTTATTACAGATGACTCACAGGCAAATAGGAAAACCAGCTGTCAGCACTTCAAAAGAGGAGTCACTGCAAAACTTCACCTCCTCACCTTGTAATAATTCTTGCATCACCTGTAGTTACAGGCCTGCCATTTTACATCACTTTGCACACCTTGGTCTATCTGTTTCAGCTGAGAGTAGTTCTTCAAATTGGACAAGGTCCTGGACAGATGTGGTTGAGACCATTAGCAGGAGTTCATTTATTTACAAAGAATGCATGTGTTAAAATTGGGCAGTATAGTCCTTTGCTTTTCCAATTTAAACAGAACTGCAACAGACATCAAAGGAGGGTGTAATATTGCTGGAAAAATCAAATATTAAATAGCTCTTTAGTGAAAAAGTGCTGTTAATTCCTACCATAGCTTAGAAAAAAAAAATAGCAACAGAAAGCATATAAATATATCCTATATACACAAACAGTACAACACAGCTGTCTTGTAAGCAGGGATTAGTAGCAGGACACTGTTATGGGAACAGCACATATTTTCCCTTGGGAAACTTAAATCCCCAAAAATTTAGTCCATTCAAGGCCACGGAGAAACAATGTGCTGCCTATGCTTGTTTCCTTTCCTTGTTACTGAGACTGACATTTTACATACCAGGCTTCTGTACATTTTACATTTTGTTTAAAAACTACAAAGTCCTTGGACCAACATCCTTTTTTTTCCATTTAAAAAAGCATTTAAATGCATTCCTCTTACCTTTATATTTTTATATTTCACTTGCTTTATTAAACCAGATAACATGAAGTTATTTTCACTCTTCACTGCAAGAGTGTAATTGATAGAGCAGTTTTAGTAGAAAAAACACAAGAGATTCATCTTAAGCTAGTTTAATTTAAACAGTTCCATGACAACAGCTGGAAACATAGCTTCTGGGAAATGTGGATGCAAACTGGAAGATAAGATTTAGTGACATCCGTGAGTTGCAGCTGCTGCATTCTGACACAGATATTACTACATCTAGCAACATCTTTTTCAATCAGAGTCAGACTGCGCCCTAAGATAAGCAGCTGTCCATTTGCTTTATGGCAAGCTGCAACTGGACAACTGAATTCCTCACAGCTCAACTTGCGTTTTCTTATTTGTCATTTTAATAATGATTCCTGTGCAGGTCAGATGCCCTTTCCCCTCCCCACACTACCTGTGATTGCCAGCTGTGTAACAAAGTAGGTCATTCGAGATTTCCGCTTCCTCCTCCAGGTAGAGAAGAGAACAGTGGCATTTCCAGCAATTGTGACAATAAAGAGAATCCAAAGAGTCACCAGCTGCTCTGTCTGCAATGGAGAGAAGGGGAAAAAAGCATATCGATAGGTGGGTAGTGACTTGGGTTAAGACAGTCAGTTATTCTTGGACAAATAAGATGAGAATGAGAAAATGAGAGTGAAACATGAATTTTGCTGATTGATTTCAACTATTTAGTCTAAAAGATATTCTTGGGTTTTTTTCAGAAAACACTCAGCATGCATCACTGCTAGTGATGTGCATTACGGTTTGATTTGTAGTGGCTGTATGTTACTTCTTTCTTCACAAAACCACTAGCAGTGTCTGTATTTGGCACTTAATGCTAAAATGAGAAGCAGCCCTCAGCTTTCTTGTGCTGCTCCAGCAAGCTGTGAAATAACCAGCTGCCTCACTTCATAGGGAATGTTGATAGATGGGCTCCTTTGGAGAAATAGGGGAAATAAATACTTCTCTCTTTCCCAACTCCAGTGTGTCTGGGTCATCCACGAGCCCTACAAAATTCGGACATCCACTCCATAATCTAGACATGCACCACAACTGAAAAGGAAAAATCACCCACTAAGGATAACTGTGTAGCCAGTGATAGGTGATGACAAAACGTCCCCTAGTGGTGTGCGTACAAAGAAAAGAAAGAGAGAAATAAAGCTATTTGTGCTCTCTAAGCATCATGATCCTCTGCCTGCAAGAACAGGGGAGTATGTGTCCATGTTTGCTTGTTTGGTGAGTGCACATCCAATCTCCATACCCTAGCAACTGGAATGAGTTTCAGGTTATGTCAGTGCAGTCGTTTGGGATCTTCCAGTTCCTGACACCAAACCCAAAATATGGGAGTTAGAGGAAAATGGATGAGGTAAGTAAGGGCTGCAGCTGAAGGGGAGTGCCAGCTGCTGGCCATACAGAACTGACCCCAAGGCACTGTCCTGAGCAGGCTGGGGAAAGAAGGCTGCCAGTGAGACCCATGCCTACCTGACTGGGTTGATGATAGAGTAGAACCAGGGGAGAACACTCATTAAAAGCATGTGGAAGCCACTAAGCCATGACTTTGTCATGCGTGAGCAGAAACCAGAGCTCCTGCTGATTGCAAACAAATTATCTCAGCTGTGAACTGGGGAGGGAAGGTGAAAGGAAAGGAATGGAACAGTGACAAGTAGCTTCTTGCTTCACAGTGAGCTTTAGTGTCTCCTCAGCTCTTAGCTTCCACCTGGACAGAAGCCATGATCCCTCCTCCATTGAGGAGCCACAGCTTTGCTCCAGGCAGGGAGCCACGCTACCCTGTGGACTATATGGTTGTGCAGGGAAGGTGACGAGCAGTTTGAGGTGACACTCTGTGCCTGAACCCAGAGATTAGATTACCATACAGTGAAGGCTTGTTGAGATGGTTTCACTTTTCCCAGCATGATCACTTTCACCAGCGTAATCTACCATTGGGGTAATCTCACCTAACTTTAAAGTTCCAAAGAAGGAACAATTCTAAATTGTCACAGTGTTGTCTAGATAATAGCAGTTTCTCATAGATGAGTCACCATTCATGTCACCTACCATAGGATGGCCTGTCTCTACTGATTATAGTGTGACCTGAATAAGACAACTTGTGTGGGCTGGATGCTTAGCTTTTAGACCAAAAAAAAAAGAAAAAGAAAAAGAAAAACAAAAACCCAACAAAAAAACCACCTCCACCTTTTTGGGGTATCTGCAAATCTCTTGAATTTCTGGGAAACAAATTCCCTTCAAAATGTGTGGCACAGACATAGCAGAATTTTTTTTTTTTTATGAGGATGCTTTGCTTGGGGCAGGAATTGGAAGGAAATGTCCTCTTAAAAGATAATAAAATCAAAAAAGGTAAGATTTCACATAATTTTTGTCCTTGAAATTAGTAACTTCTCCTCAGGGTTTGGGTTTTCGTTTCATTTCATAAAAGATATTTCCTACATGAAAGAAACTAAGGGACAGGCCTTGTTCCCATTTTCTCTGATATAAAATCCGGAGATCAGTTTCTTAAATGTAACTCTGTGTTTCTATATTATACTGGATAGATAGGAACAGAGCAAGGATCCGACACTCAAACGTTGTTACGATTCTCAGAGAAGAAATAGCTATGGAGGAACAGAGACTGTTTTAGAAGGGTGTTTCCTCACCATAAGGGAGAAAGCACATGTGGTCACTTAAATCCCCTCCTGCCAAATTAAAAAGCAATGATTAACGGTTAAGTAATCTTATGCTACAGGAACAGACAATTAAACGAGACAGCAAAGATAAGTTAAAAGATGCAAACACTAAATATAGTATAAGTCTGAAAGGCCATAAGCAAAGAAATAAAGCCAAAGTGTCTATTAATCTATTTGTTGGAGCTCCCATTCAGACAAAAGGGGAAAAGATCTCGTTCTTGAGGATAAAGGAGCTATAACAATAGGCAACAAAACAATAGGCCTCTCTCATTCTGTTAACTCGCAGAATGAAAATTTCAGTGGATAATTATGGGATGCCCTCTGTGATAAAGGCCTTCGTGGAGGCTAGGATTAGAATTCAAAATTATCTTCGTGAGTTGGAAACGTGCACTGGGAAAAATGCAAGATGCTGTTCAACAAAGAAGTGTAGGACTCTACAGCATAGTGGGTGTGATCACTGTAATCAATGGGTTGGACCGGTATTCATAACATCCTCCCTCACACTCAGCACATGTGTAAAGTGCCCCAGAAATGGAACATGACTTAGTAACATCATCCTACCATAAGAGCGATAGCCATTGTCATGGGATCGACACTAGTCTTGTGCACCTCTGCTCTAATCCTTCCACCATACTATGCCCACTCCTAGGCACAGTGCTTCAAGAGAGACACAGAGAAATGAGTTGACAGCGGTCTAGAGGATATGGCCAGGCAAAAAGATTAAATGAATTAAATTGCTAAATCCAGCAAAAATCAGACCGCAGGAAAAGATGAACATACCCTTGAACACACAAAAAAGGTGTATATAAAAAAGGAAAGGACTAATCTCTTCTTTAGATCCACTGCAGATCAGACAAAAACCAGTGAATCAGAACTATAGCACAGAATTCAGCATGTAAATTTTAAAAAATCGACTTAAAATATATCATACATACACAGATTGACTGAGTCAGTAAAACTTCCATCTGTGAAAACCTTAAAAATAGTTATTAGATTAGAGAGATAGCTGATGGATCCTTGAATTTCACTCTCAATGCATTTTCTATAATTTTGTTTTATTCATCACCTTTAGGTTGCTTAGACATAGAAGTGTTTCATTTCATGTCTTGTTCATTCATCAAACAAAAATCCTCCCTTAGTAACAATCCTTATCAAGGTAATTTACAAAAAAGCATTATTTAACAACATGTGCAGGCATCAGAAGAGTTCTGATAGAAAGAAAGATACTAATATCTCCCAAATCTCTGTTCAGAAGCTTTTGACGAGGATTTCTTTTGCAATGGGTGTTGATAACTACAATATGTGGGAATGCCATGGGAGAGACTAATGTCATACACCAGTTATTCAGGTTAGAAAAGCTAGAGATACTGGTGACTTAATTAAGGTCACAGAACAAATCAAAGTCAAGAGGATTTCCTTAGCTTGAGTAGAGCCATTACACATGCTGCTGCTCCACAAGGCTGCTGTGTTTGGAGTATGGAAGTGCTTGACATCTGGAGCGCATATTTATATACTGCTAATTTGCTTTAAGATTAAAACCAGCTTTAGTCGACGAAAAAAGCCTCTTCATGGGTGAAAGGTAAGCCAGAACACCTGCTGAAGATTGTGTGCCTTTTCCTTTGGCTATAGAAGAGGCTTGTCATTCTGTTTCTCTAATAATATTTCTGAATCCATAGGCTGTGGTAAGTCTAGCAAGAGGAGTATTATACTTTATATTTGAGCCAAAGATCACCCCTGTGAGCAGCTTTAATCAAGACCACAGTTAAATCCTTTTGGAGATATTGGGCGACACTTTGGTGCCGTGATGCCATCCCTCCTTCCAGTCTCCCCCGCTAACTTCCTTGCTTTGTCATCTTTCAGGATTTGTATCCCTTCTGTTGAGAGGCACCAGCTGTGACTGTGGAACAGGGTTCCTAAAAGCCCATCCCAATGTAGGTGCTCATGTCTTCAGGTACAGAGCCTTTGCCTGATAGCAGAGGAGTTGCCTAATAGAAGAAGATGTTCAACTATCAGTGGACAAAGCATGTTTGTACTTGAATGGGACTCAACATAAAACAGTTTAGTTCTAGCTGCTGAGGCTGGTTGGGAAACAGCCTGGGAAAAATAAGTTTCTAGGTAAGAAATGAACAAATAGAAAAAGAGAGAGAGAGGTACTCCATTCCTGGAGTGACTGGCTGGCTGCTTAATGTGAGGACAGGCGGCCTATGGTGAATTTATGGCCTTGCTGACATTGGGCCTTCCTACACTCTGTCCTTGGTCACTTGGGTGAAGAAGAGGCACTGATTCCTCATATCACAGGTCAGTAGTGGCTTAAGTCTCTGAGGAGCTCCTTCTTGCCAGTTGATTAAACTCTGGGAATGTACATTTGATCTTACTGCTTGACTTTGGTATATTTTGAGAATTACGGTTTTAGCATAGCTTATTGCAGAAACTGAGATTGTAAGAGCTGTAATCATGGAGCAAGCCAAAGAATTTTGTAAGAATGTTCCTAACATGTAAGAAGAATATATAAAATTCCCTTGTTAAATTGAGTAACTGTCATGCTCATGGTCAGCTTCACCACTGGAAGATTGCATTGCACTTTCTTGAAGGAGGGAAAAAAAAAAAAGAAAAAAAGAAAAATCTTTTCTCACTCCTTAATTGCAGATCGTGTAAGAAAATGGAGTAATCTAGACTCACATTTTTTTGATCCTATAGTAGAAGATCTGGATTCTTGAATGTTCAAAACTGAAAATGTTCAGGACAGATTTGCTGTTTTAACATCCCCCATTTAGGATGAAAAATAAAAACGCTTTAAAAACCCAAACAGAATCCAACAACAAAACCAAAGAAAACCAAACAGAAAAAAAATAAATAAAAGCACACAC